AGAGGTAGGATATTGTATGAAATCATTTTGTATTTGGAGTATTGTGTAATTTTTTTTTTTTTCTCATTAAAATCTTTATTTGTTTTTTAGGGATCACGAATAACTGGTATCGTTCGTAGTTTCCCTATATTTGTTGGGTTGCTTCAGGAAGGTGAAGTATATGTATTTTCCAACTACCAATTAGAGTTAAACGTTGGTAAATTTCGATCTACTAATGCGACCTACAAGGTTATAATTACTGGAGCTACCGAGATCCATCACGTGCTATCTGATTTCCCAACATGGGAATTCAATTTCCATAATTTTGTATTTCTTAAAAGTGATGACATGGTCGACGATTCAGTCCTTTACGGTAATTCTTTTATTTATTATTTAATCGTTTATGTACAATCTTTTATTTATTATTTATAGTGTTAGTCGAATGTGTACAAATTTCATTTAGTTTTTATTTTATAATTATTTTTAAAATACTAATTTTTTTTTGGATTAATATTTATTTTAGATGCTATTGGGATGGTTGTCGAGGTTAGACCCATTCATTTGGATTTTCATAATGGAGAAGAAAAGCAAGTGATTTCTTTTTCAATGATGGATGTTGAGTAAGAAATATATACTTCATTAATATATTTATAAAAGTTATTTATTATTTAATATTAAATTTTTATTATTTTTTACTAAATAGTGGATTAGTTATGCGTTGCCAACTTTGGGGTCATTACGTCTCCGAGTTTATTGATGCTGAAAATTACTACCAATCTATGGAAGATGGAGAACCTTGGGTTCTAATAATGCAGTTATGTAGGACATCTCGAAATCTTGCAGGTATTTCGAGATTTTTAATTTATTTATATTACAATACAAAATAAATAATGTGATTATATATATTCTAAATCCCATCACTAATATGGATTATTTTGTAACAGGAGAATATCAATTGAGTTCATATTTGAATGTTACGCGACTTTTTGCTAATAATATCCCAGAAATTCTGCATTTTCGTGAAAGGTGAGTAGCAATTGTTAATTGTGTAAATTATTGGATATCTTATTAATATTTATTAATTAATTTAATTACTTTTGAATTTATGTTATGAAATGC